ACAAAGTCGTAATTTTTCATTTTTGTCAAAAAGTGTCTATAGTGGTGAATTATGGTTTAGGTTTTTTTTAAATAAAGTTTCAAAAATTTCTATGTATGTGGAAAATGTAGTTGATTACCAAAGGTTACAATTTTCATTTTGAAGACTGCATGGTCTAGGAAGTGTACATATAGCGTAGGAAGTGTACATATAGCGTGGGGCAAGTTTCCAAGGGCAGGTTTTCTAGGGGCAAGTTGACTGCGAAGGAGTGTTGCCAAAGTGCAAGCCAGCGTGTTATTTGATCACAAGTGCGAGACATCGCAAGTGTGAGCCAGCGAGCCATGATGTCACGACAATAGATACGAGACGTTACTCGAGTTGTGCGAGGTATCGGCTGAAAAAACAACTATAGGTCTAATAATGAATTATTGTGATGTTAAATAGACAATGTTAGCTATCAAGGAGCGACCTTCGTCCCTTCAAGGCTAGGCCTATACCATCCTAGCTAGTCTAGGCCTAGAGTAGGATAAGGCTAGCGCGACATGCGGACGTTGGTACGTGTTGGTTAGTCTACAAACGTCGGCTAAAGTAATTGATTTTACCCAGCAGAACGAAAGAAGGAAACTCCGCTTTTCAGTCGTCTTAGGCCCTTGTTTTCTGACAAACAATGACCTTTCAGGGGTCAAATTGCTGTCAAGAATATGAATTGGCTGCTTCGCAGCAAAAATACTATTAACATGTAACTGGCTCTGATGCTGAAATGTATTAATTCCATCCATGACCTTTCAGATTGCTAAAAACATCCAGCTTTCTGACATCATTCTCAGCGTGTCTGCAGACTGCATCTTCCAAGAAAATCTAAATTCTATGGCTTAATTCACAATAACATGTTCAAAATCTGGCCTGAAAGCAGTGAACACCAGTTTATCAAGTAAAGTTAGGCAAGACCTTTTTTTATATACCATGTTTTGAAAATCCCCTGCCAATAATTATTATTGCAAATAAAAATAACATTTTATTTTGGGCCAGTAATAGCACACCCACCACCACAAAAATGTAAATTACAGAAAATGTTTATTACTGTATGTCCTTGAAATCTCCCAAAATAAGATCTATGTTTTCCTTAATTATCAGACGTTCCAACCCCTAGACCTAAAAAATCGGAAGACAGAAAAATCTGTAGGTGAAGGGCGCCCATAAACCCACCAATTAGTGAAAAGCGCCCTCAACGTAAAAATATTCTGATAATATTAACGTCTTTCATGGTTTATGTAATTTAAAGATACCTATTGGATTTTCATTCATGGATTTCACCTATTTTATCAAGCAAATCCCATGTTTTTTAACTGGCGGTACATAAGGCAAATCTAGGCCTAGCCTAGTCCTAGATTTTGAAATTCGGGAGAACTTGAACAAATTCGGGAGACCGGGAGATAGCATGTAAATTCGGTAGACTCCCAATCAAATCGGCGGGGGGGGGGGGGGTTGGAACCTTTGATTATATAAATTGAAAGCATATCCAACTACACTGTTTACATTATCTTTTACATCTTTATTTTCTCCTCTGTCTAACAGGTGCTTTAGTTAAAAAAAACCATTTTGCTAAATAGAAAATCAAAATTATATTTTCTTTTCCGCACTAATCCGATGGGCTTGAAATTAAATAAATTTTTGCTATAAGGTATAAAAAAAGTCTTGTCTTTTGCCTAATTTCCACTATATGCTTTTTTTTTTTCTTGTGTCCCAACTTTACTAGTAGGTCTAAAGTTAAATCATGATTCTTATAGAGCAAATGATATTGGTTTAATGTGGAGGACTACAGCCTAGGCTCCTGCTAAGTGTACTGTACATGATGATTTCTATTATTAAGTTCGCTACTGAGCATGGATGGCTAATGATAAAAACATTATGCACATTTAACTTACAATAGGCAAATATACATTATACTAATGCAGACCTTTGCCTCAGTAAGTTCTGAATTATTAGTCACAAGTGTATAATCATGTGCAATCATTACATTAACTACCAATACATTATCGATTCAACTGGTTACAGGTGTGGGGGTGTATTTTAGATTGTTATGTACAGTAGAATCTATCTATCAGAGAACTATACAATGTAAAAATCATATCGAATGCTAGACTTCAGAATGATTAAATATATAATCATTTCATTCTATATAAAAGTAAAAGGGCAAAGGTGATTGATTTTTTTCCTCAATAAATTACTTTAAAAATGCTGGCACTAAGGTGTTCAAAAACTTGCATGATATACAGGGTACTACTAGTACCTCAAGCCCGATGTAATTTAGTTTCTTTGTTAGTACTACATGAATCATGTTTAAAGAATGGCTTATTCACAAGGTCACATGGGTATATCATGTGACATGAAATGCAAATATGAGGAAATTAGACCTTTCCTTTTAAAAACTGTACAGCGTCTTGAGTTTGAATTCACTATGAAAATGATGCAAGGTGAAGCTTTGCTAAGCAACATTACAATTCCTTCATTTAATTACCAAACATGAATTATGCTGAATCAGATATGGTTGGAGAGCAATATCAAATAAGTAAACACCACAGCTGGACTAATGTGAAGAATTACACACAAAAAATTGGGTTCATTTAAGAGGCAGAAAGAGAGGGTGGAAGTAGATTGTTAAAGATTACTCTAAACTGCAAATCAATAAATGTAACTGTAATAAAAATATTAGATTATGTTACTTACTGTACTGTAGTATGCGTCACTTATGCAAAGCTCTATATTTGAAAACTATTGTTATCATATTTGTACACCCTCAGAAGTTCAAACCCAATGAGTTCTCGATGTCTCGCTTGATGTTTGAGCATGACAATACATAGGTTTTATTAAATTTATGATTTAAATTAATTGTTTAATCAATCCTTCACAACTCATTTAGTTTGTCATAAAATTATTAATTGTAACGTATAGAACATACAGTAATAACAATGCAGTTGAAATGGTAGTTTAAACCGGTTGAGGCTTAAAAAACTTTTGAAACTATTTTTTTTATATCATACAGTGAGTTTAGGCCAATAATTCATGACTGTAGTGTCAGCCAACAGTAGCTGTAAGTACAGTGCTACACTTTACATTAATAAGAACAATATATGTCTTAATATACAATTTTTATCTCCATTTTTAATGAACGAGTATTATGTTATTCACTGTATGTTTGCTTGGTGCTTTACAGGTTATTTGAATGAATAAATCCATGAATGAAATAAATGAATGTATGACCTCCGAATGAATGGTCAGCCGGGATATGGTTGTAGCTATATCATATATTTGCCAATTATTAAATATGTATGTAGCTGGTATTTTATTTTATTTACTTTTTTTATTTTGTAAAGTAGGATACAGATTTAGTAGTGTACTCTTAGGTGCAATACATGGGTCAATGGTTATCTAAATGACATACTGTACTTTGCGTGTTACTGTAGAGTAATGACATTACAAAATCTTTTGATTTAACTAATTTTAATTTAAGTACCTACAGTATATAAACTGCACATTGGCAGTTTTTTTTAAAGTTGGTTATGTTAATAATGTAATAATTTTTCTAATATGGTCTTAGTTAATACTGTCATTCAAAATAGAGAAAACCATTTGTTTTGCTACGTCACTGTTATGTTTGTAAGCCTAGAGGTAGGGTTGGCCATTCCCTTTATATTAAACCATGTACAATGCACAATTTACATCAAATTTGCATCACTTTAAAATTAATTTCAATGAAACTCAAGCTCTGTTAACACAATTAAAAACATTTAATATTCATGGCCATCACGTAATTAATTTTTCACAACACTTTATCCATCCATCTACAGTGCTGCTTAATCATAAATATTATGATTATTTTTATGATTTCCTTATACATATGAAAGTCTCACAGTAATTTGCATACCTTTACCACTGGATGCATACAAATTCATGTACAATGTGCATCCTTCCATTTTCCCTAAGGGTGCTCCTAAAAGTGCATTAGATATTAAGTGTAGAGTAACTTTATGGCTAAAATGCGCATCTTCCAATTCAAGGCCGCAATTAAATTCAAATCCTGCAATATACCAATATCGTCATGTCCTCATGAATATGCAACCTGACACTACCTAAAGGTGAACTAAAGTTAAAGAAGCTCAGGAGAAAAAATGCTAAAGTAAAACACACTGTGCATACAATACATCGCATTCTCATGGCCGGTGTATATCTTGAATGTTGGATTGTGTGGTAAAAATTATTTATTTCACTGGGGCAGTGTTAGCAGAGTGTCCAAAGGTCAATGGTCATTCATTTTTTATTTGCGCCTTCCATTTTAAAACCGTTTCAATGCACTTTTAAGTCACCAAAAAACTACAAAAATGTAATTATAAACAGACACAAACACAAAGGCGAGGAAGATGATACACACACCCCCAAGTTTGAGATGGCGTTGTCATCACTACCTTGCACACACCGGTACCTCGGAGTCAGTATACTGGGCTCCGGTAGTAACGAAGTGCGACTTGGAGCTTATCCACTTTCAGGTTCGTGAATTGGATAAGAGCGTGATGCTCCCCCTGAGTCGGACACTGGTCCAATGCTGGTTTCTCCCAGCAATTTGCTGGTAGCCATTGATACAGCTAGGTAGACCGAAGTAACAAAGGACTGAAACCTATCTCGAGGTTCGGAAAACAAACTATTACCACTGCGCCAAACTACTTCCACATAAAGTGGATATTGTGCAACCTAAATCTAATCTGAGTGCTGTGGGCTATTATACAGTGTTAGCCCACAATATTTACACTGATTTTTTTCATGATTAATGTATTTTTCAATATCAAGTTTAATAACATGTGATTTTATTAATTGAATCATTAGAGAAAACAAACTGTTGCTAATGGGAAAATGCAATGTTGAATACAATCATTGCTCTGTCTTTTGCTCAAATTCCATTTAGAGCCATTTTCAGTTTTTCTGAGTGAAATAAATTATTAAATAATACCATAGTAAAGTGTACATACTTCTATACAGTGATTACACACAGAGCAATGTGAACAGCGAGGAGGCCTGTAGAACCCACATGTTGAACACCATTTCATCCGCACTTGGTAACCCTGAATCTCAACTACTTTGTACAAGGGCGCCCTCGTTTCCTCCTCTTTATCTTCATCCCCTTTGGCTGCAAAGAAATTAAACACATTTAAAATTCAATTATACCATTAAGAAACTTTACTGCATATTTATGCTGGCCGTCAAATCATACAGTAGTTTACCATCCTCTGCAAATGTCATAATTTTTCTCGTGCTAAGAAACAAAAACATTTTCACTTTCTGAAATTCATAAAATCTGCAGACATAAAGATCTATTATAGTCATAAAAATCATGGTTTAAAAATAGACCTTTTAAATCAAAGGTCATCAAGACATTTCATACTAGACCTCTGAATTGTCTCAGAGGACTAAGAAACATTTTTTCTCATGAGTATACACAAATATCTCATCCATTACATATTGGAGTGGAGTTGCTTGGTTTCGAATTTCAGGGTCCTTGGTGTAATTCTTCTCAGGGTAAAAGGAATTTTTCTTACGACCAAAAGGCAATATTTATTCCTTGTTTCATGAACTTAATTTTTATTAAATATCATCAGAGGATGGCGGGAAAGAAATAAAAATGGTTTTGCCAAAAACATCCTGACAGAGGAGAAAACTAGAGGGTGCATACCTCCGCTCACATAATAATTCTCCTCAGTATAAATTTTCCCTGCATAGATGTATTGTCCCCATAAAAAAAGTATAATGAAAAACGTAGACTCCTTAAGATTTGAACCTGGGGCTGGTAGTGGGGAAAACACTCTTCTAACCACTACACCAAACTGTTTTCACATCACTTTGAAATTAATAGTTATGTGAGCCCGTATAAGCGCACACACACGTCTATACGGCAAATAGTTATAAAGTTTTTCGATCATTGTGTCCTTGACCTTTGACCCTAACCCTTCCAAATTTAGTCACTTCCAGACCTCTGGTAAAGGAATATTGTGGCCAAGTTTTAAAAAAATTGTTTTTTGTTGATTGTGACCTTGACCTTTAACCCTTACCCTTCAACATTCAAATGCTTTGAGATCTTTGGTCATGGAACATTGTGACCAAGTTTGACAAGTTTGTAATTAAAACTATAGACTGTAGACAAATAAATTAAAAAAATAGTTTTTGTCGATTGTGACCTTGACCTTTGACCCTTCAAAATTTAATCAGCTCTAGATCTTAGGTAAAGAAGCATTGTGGCCAAATTTGACGAATTTCTGATAAAAACTACAGTATGGCCTGTAGGCTGTTTGCAACAAATATGCCAACAGACATAAATAAACAGGGGAAAAAAAATAATCTCCTGCCAACTTCGTTGGTGGAGGTAGTAAGATCTTTGGTCACGGAACATTGTATTAAACCAAGTTTGACAAATTTGTGATTAAAACTATGGGCTGTAGACAAGTAAAAAAAAAATAGTTTTTTGTTGATTGTGACCTTGACATTTGACCCTTACCTTTCAAAATTTAATCAGCTCTAGATCTTAGGTAAAGGAGATTGTGGCCGAGTTTGACAAAATTCTGATAAAAACTATGGGCTGTAGGCTGTTCACAACAAATATGCCAACAGACAAATAAATAACTAAATAAAAAAACCAAACAAAAACATAACCTCCTGCCAACTTCAAGCCAGCAAAGAGCGTAATAAAAATAAGGATAAACTTTAATTTTTTCCTGAAATTTTCATTTTTTCATGGCAGCGGGTGCGCTAATTGGCCAAAACAACTCTCATTCCCTCAGCCTCATATAATGAGGCTTCATTATCACCCACAGTTTCTTTATTTCTTCCATAACATTTTCCACTTCCATCCATGTAACAATGCATGCAGTATCTCTAATGAACTATACAGTAGCTTTATGGTTTACTTTTCTTTTTTAAACGTCATTATTGTGATTCTTCAGTTATGTGCGAGTTATAGTTTGAAATATTTACTATACGTTTTAATATCATGTAACTTTAGGTTTGGTGTACAATATACCTGTAGTCACTAGAAAGTTTATTGCCTCATACTGGAATTAATAAATTTATTAATGTTTGTATTTAAAATCTGATATAGTTTATTTATATAAATTATTTGACCAAAAAAAGAAGTTTCATACTTTAATGATAAAAAAAATCACAATGTACATATATATTTTTTACATTAAATTTTAAATAATAAATTAATAGGCATTTTGTTATACAGTAGAAAAGATGGTAAACAAACATGAACATGATTGATTGATTGATTAATTCAGGATCATTGTTAATCTTATCAACATTGATGTTGCTTTCTGGAAGCTGTTACACATGTCAAGAAACCAATATCAATTTATCAAATCTTATCCCGATAAATTCCACTTAAGTATTAAACGAAGATACCCTCAGCTGTAAAGTCTTGTCAGAAATCTTTGTCAACACAATTCATACAATTAAACAAAACAGTGTTATGTTATCGCTCTCATTCTATTCAATATTTTTTTCTATAGTACTGTGCAAGCAATCATGATTTATACATAATATATACACTGAGGTATCATCCATTTTATTATAGGCTATATGTTGTTTCAAAAGCAATTTTCTATAAATGTTGTATTTTATATTCAATTTCAATATATTCACTTCGTTTCAAAATGGAGAGTTAATAAGTATGAAAACGTGGGCTTTTTACTTTAAATAAAGTGAAAAAATGTGCAACAGATATATTGTTTGTAGCTTCAACAATTTAATGAAAAGTAGCGTTTAAGCTTTCATAGCCAAATTCCTATAAAAGCCAAATTTTGCTAAATACTTTTATTCAAAATTAGCCCAAAACCTATGGAATTTAACCAATTATTATATTTTTTTATTTTAGTTATAAATCAAATTTCTATTTAGCATGATTATTTTTATGCTGAAAAGCCAAATTGCTAAATATTTTTTAGCCACATTAAACCCTGGTATTTGGTAAGATTAAAATAATAGCAATACAAAATTTACTACTGCTGTATAATACAGTATTTACATTTAGTCATACAAATGACTTCACAGGTATTTCAAGAAATAGTACTAATACTATTACTACAGTATGAGAGAATGCAATTTCTTGTTTGCTTCATGTACAGTAAAATAAATGTCATTAGTGACTGTAAATAAATCTGAAGGTGTATGTTTGTGTGTTTATAAATAACCACATTGGATTGCATTGGATTGTATATATTATCTATTTTTTGCAGCTCTTCTATTCAATGTCAGTTTGACAACTGCTTAAATCAATCCTGTAAATGTTTGTGATAAATGATGCCATCATTTCCAAATAAAACTCTTCTTTGTCTTTATTTAAATATGTTTTATTTAAGAAGTCTGTACAGTATTATTTAAATATTGGTTATATTTTTAAGAGCTCTAATATGATGCATGCTTCTTCTAAACAATACAGTTTTACTGTGATTATATTTCTCCTAAGTTGCAACAATAAAAATAAGGAATTTTTGGTAGCTTGTTTTAGGCACATAAGTGATAGAGGTATATAAAACACCTTCATTTAATCTCCATATCTCCATGTATTATTTTACAGGGTGAATATTTTTGCTATTCATAAATACCTAAACAGAATCAATTATAGCCTCACATTTGTCATTTTAGAGTTACAGGTACCATACTCATATTTTATTTGCAAATAATCAGTGGATCCTTTGGATCTTAACTTGTTTTAGATGTGTACTGTAGGTTTTATTTACACGCTTTTTTTGTCCAAGTTGTTTGTGCTTTAAAAGTGTTCACTGTAAATTTATTGCAATGCCCCAATATTACAGGAACTGCACCCAGATCAAACAAATTTCATGTTTATAACAATAAGACAATTTTATATAATCCTAAATTTGGTGGAATATTACTGCAATAACATGAAAAAATTGTACACATTATACCAATCTGATATTATTATTATTATTATTGACACGATTGACAAATTGAGATAGCAATCACCAAGGAGATGAATGAGTTAAGGGTTTACGATTTGAAACATTATCAAGCACGACATTTGCAAATACATTGCCAGATATGGCTCTGCAATTCATTTTAGCAATCTGTTACGCCATAGAGCACGGTAATGATGACCTTTACAACATCAAACTGTTTATGTATTTTACATTGTGGATTGTCAAGTGTACTGCATGGAAATAGCCATAAACCAAAAAGTTTTCCACTCAAGTCTTTCATATCAGAATCATAACAGTAACTCAAATTTTGAAATTAGTTGAATTTACAAAGCCTTTAGAATGAAAATGGAACAAGTGATCATCCTATTTTAATTCCATGTCAATTCTACCTGAAATGATTTGTAATATTATATTGTGTGCCCCAGGGCTAACGGCTTGAGACAGGAGTTGGCATAAAAGAAAGATAGAGATCTGCCATTAAATTTAAGAAAAAGGCAAGTTATGTGCTTTAGCATACACAATTAGCAGTGGCTGTACAGTAGTTTGGTAGTTAGTTATTTTGAGAACGATTAAACAAAAATGCGAATAAATCACCTGATTGACCATAGATCCTACAATACAGTAGGATCCATAGTTCTATGTAGAAATATGTTGAATATTAATGCATCCAGACATAAATACCTTTTTCAAGTAATTATTACATGTTTTCTTGTTTTGTATAGTGTATATAAATATTTGAAATATGGAGGTTAATACTGTATGCAAGGGAGTTCCATGATTGTAACCTTTCTAGTAAAAGTCACTACTTATTCTATCAATAGATCTTGGCAATAGTACAGTACTTCAGGCCATGTTCAGGTTAAATGCAGTGCATCCTTTGACATCAATTCAATTTGAAACTATGGTAAGAGAATCTGTTTGACCTCTTGAGGATAACCTAAAGCAAAGAATCATTAAAACTTAATTTATTCACAAAACTAACATATTCATAACATGGTGTGATTGTCTGCACGAAAAGATTTGTGTTGGATTCATAGTTTAAAATCTAATGAGGATGGCATACCGTATAATCTCATGATATAATATGATGCTTAATATAACAAATACGATCAAAAAACAGGTGGTCGTCTTATAGATGCAACAATCTTGATTTTTAAATCATATTTGTCTTGTGTGCGTATCGTCCGCAACACGCAAATTTACTACTGAAATGAAGCTAGACCTACTAACTGTAGTGGTAGTATGAATGAACGCATTTTAATATGGGGGAAGAGGGTTTTTTATTAATATTTAACAGCCCGTAATTTGGAAGACTGGGCCTACGTTTAGCTCTGATTTTAGCCAGCTAGATGCAGTGTTAAGACCATAAAAAGCAGCAAATAGTAAGAAACATTGGGGGGGGGGGTCGTCTTATACGCCTGACATCCAAAAATTATCCTAAAATCCTCTGAAACTCGGGGGTCATCTTATACGCGAGTATATACTGTAAGAAAAGAGTTACTTCATTGATTAAATAGATATATAATATTCAAAACGAAAAGAAAGTAAACTCCAATTAAAGATTAATTGACCAAATGAGGCTTGAACTCCCAAAACCAGCATCCGTGACCAAAAAATGAAAATAGATTTTTTAGTATTATTCCCCACATTATAAGCTTTAAAATAATTTGTCATTTACTAGAATCGAAAAAAGATTGAACTAAAGGATACAACAAACCTGATTTTATTAAGAAAAATATACATTATCACTTTGAAAAATGTACGCAACATCTAATTGCACGTGTGGGGCAATCACACCAACCCATGCAAAAATCAGACGAGAAAACTCGCACTTGGCTGAGGCTGTCCCATTGACAGCGACGAGTTTACTCGTCCGCTAATACTTTCCCGCCAATGTATTAGACGCACCAATTTAATGATACAGTATGTGACTTAATAACATTTCAAGAAAGTATGTTTGTACATTTATATTTGTTTTGGCACACAGGATAAACCTAAAAAAAAGATCTGCTAGGCAGTCTACATAAGGAAAAAAAATCATATTTTATTAGCTTTTTTAAAAATAAAGTTCGCTAAACAAGGTTTAAAAAGTCTTGCCTAAATATTAGCTAACTGGTAACCAAGCACAAAAGTTTCACTTAATATTAGGTATAAATGTACCTTTGCACACACTGACCCTTCACCAATCTAGTTTTTCACGTTTTCACTAATCAGCCAAGATAAAACACTATTAAAATGTAAAATTTGTGTTGGTATACTTACATTGTGGGATTACTCCAGGATCAACGAACGTTGCCAGAAGAAAATTTCCAAGAACAAATAAAAATAAGATGCCATCATAAATAGGTATAAGTATTGAATATGTGTCTTTTAGAACTGGAACACTGAAAAAAAAAGAAAAGGAATAGAATGAAACAAATCATTGAAAAAGGTTCAACAATGTATTTTCAAAGAACAGTTATTTTTGTTGGTTTACAGTAAATAAGGCTAGTATTAACTGATAAACACATTTCTCTTGAAGACCTATGTGGCCAAAGAATTTATTAAAATATCATCACAATATTGAAAGTTAGAAACCACCCACTGTTTAATGCATTTAAATGGCTATGCTCAATAAAGATATTATGATCTGCTGAATTCTTGTACCTCCAGAATTTCTGTTTTTCGGACAATAAATAATCTTGAATCTTTCTTTTTTTAAAAATCAGTAATACAGTAAGTATGTTTATACTCTACCTACTTTTGGTGTAACAAATCATGTTATAAAAATATTACCTGACAAGTTCATAAAAATATTATAATTACACTATAATTTTATGTAAAATGAGTTTGTTGTAACAATATTTTATTGTAGTGGTTTTGTAGAACTTTATTAATGTATCCAGAATTATTTTGCAATAAATTCAATTATTATTAAAATAATAATAATAATAATAATTAGAGATTCATTTTTTGAAATCCTTGCAAAACAGCATCATGTTCTCTATTTTGTTTTCTATTTCTAGAAATATATTTCTAGAAATCTTATCTTACCACAGACAGTAGTCTGCTAATAGTACTTATTAAAAAACTGCTATTGTAGTAGTAGTAGTCTGTTTTTACTTTAAAAAAAATTCATCTTTATATATGTTATATACATTCATAGAAGCGGTTGGCGCATCAGTTGTGGCTTGAACTTCCAACCTCGAGGTTGGGGGTTCGAAACTCTCATTGTGCAAATTGATTGTGTCCTTGGGCAAGGCACTTTATCTACGGTTGCCTCTCTCCACCCATTAGTACAAGTGGGTACCTGGTAGGTTCCAACACAACTGCGCTGATTACTAGCCGCAATATTATGGAATAATAATATAATTTAACTTAATAATTTAATTTGGTGTTCAATGTGTTTGATCCAATGACCGGGGTAGTAATGTGAAGCGCTTAGAGGCTTTGTAAAGGCATTAAGCGCTATATATGAACGACATATTATTATTATTGTTATATGCTTAATAATCAATCAAACACATTATCTTTGAAAACTAGGTTATTATCCTTAGGTTATTATCCTTGAAAATAAATTTATGATGAAAATATGACATATTTTATTTGCCCAGAAAGACCTGAGAACACTAAGTCTGCCTGTTGTCGTCAGTAGTTAAATAATGGTACTGAAAAGCAGTGGCAGACCATAGGGTAAATTGCAGGGTATGCTAGTTATTGGCATATCTAGGATGTGCGGGGGAGCGCACGGCTCCACCCTCGGAAAAAGAAAATACTCGCCTATCTCCAATCGCGCCCCCACCAACAAATCATTCTCAAGTAGTTAAAACCTGTCTCTTATACACATCTAGATGTGTATAAGAGACAGCATTTCAAGACCCCTACGCAACTGATGCTAGGGCCTGCTAGTAGTTTGTACTGTAAGCCTATTACTACACAGAATCAGATTGCGTTCATAGGCAAAATACAAATGTATGTTATTTTTAATACAGCATGGTTGTAGTATCTTTTCTTCAGAAGAATTAATGGAGGTCTCGATTTGTGAGAAGAAGAGCATGCTTATAGTACGTTCTCATGGAAGCATCGCTTCCTTTGCAGTATTAAATTGGCTATTTCGACGCCACCACACGGTTATCACAATAGCAAATTTTAGCATTGTAGGGTATGCTCTGACTTCCATTGACTCACTGAATACGTGATTGGCTGATATTGAAAACCAGCCATGTGGAAATTCTAAGCAGCTGACAGTACGATGCGATAGGCCCGAATACGACTTATAATTGATACTACAGTAAAGTAAAGTCAAACATTGAAAAACTTTGCTATTCCAATGAACAGTAGCAATCCACCCGAAAAATTAAGGTGTATGTAAAAGATTGTGGCTAAGTAAATAAAATGGAGAAACTGTACCATCATTTTTTTTTATTGTTTTCTCCAGGGTATGCACTGCATACCTTGCTTGCCTTGACGGTACGTTGAAAAGTTGGCCGAAATCTTGGCACATTAATAACTTCTTTAACTCTTCGGTAGTTGAGATCTAGTAGTTTGTATTCATGTGAATATTATTATTGTATACTATTGTTTATAGAAAATGGTTGGATTATAAACACATGTCAAAAAAATGTTCATCTTGTAAAATTAAATCTCTTCACTCAGTTTAATGTTTGACAATATCAAATGGACAGGGGGAAATTCATGGCTCAAATTTCAAGTTCAACTCCTAGAATTCTCATAACTTTTCATAATCATGTCATTATCAGAGAAATCCCATTTTCTCTTTCATAAGGCTTTTTGACACATTAAAATGATTTACTATGAGTACAGTACTTGTGGTTAAACATGTCACAGTAGTTTTCCACTGCTGAGCATACAGTACTCGACCCAGGTATTTTGTGTCCATGCATTAACATCAAATATACTCAACTGTTGAGATGCCTGAATCTGAAAGCCATTTTCACTACTTCCAATACAATCTAGCCTATAGATATTTTTGACCTCCACAGTCATTTAGCAAATTATAAAAACCACAAAAGCAAAAAAAAAAAAAAAAAAAAAAAAAAAAAAAAGAGCACACAATTGATTTACAGAGGAATACAGAGTTCAATGAGCAGGAAAAAAATGCACACAAATTAATAGCACTGTCAGTGCCAGCATAATTATTCCTAAATATTATGATCAATTAGTTAATAAGAGGCACTTTGATCAGAAAACATGAGCTGTACTCAGCTTACGGGAATTTTCAAATAAGTGTACAATAGGCGTAAATATTAATGTAAAATTATCAAATTATGGAGATTGTATGGGTAAATAACCATAAATAATTAATAATTCAATAATTATCAGTAGGCTTATTACATGATACATTAAACCAAGTACATGTAGTAGTAGGCCTATACTATATTTATGTCATTTTTAAACTTTACAAAAGCAGCCAGAAATTGTTAAATTACACAGATGACTGACCGAACTCAATCTTAAGGACTTTAGTGGTTTCTTATTTTTTTAAGTGTTATAAAAAATGAAATGATGGGGAGAATAGCATGGGATACCAAAACACAAGGTTAGGGTGGTGTACCAAGTTACATTAGCACCACTTGGACTTTTCAAACATGGACAGTGGTGATTGCATGTCAACTACTGAGATGCTGAGTACGACATAGAGGACAAACCGCGCTACAAGGAAATTAACTGGACAACAGAAATTAAGAAGTTTGATTATAGACAAATAAATACAATTTGGAAAGAAGATGTAAAAAAAAAAACAAAGAAAGAATTGAATTTTAAATCATCTGTAGAGAGAGGTATGCCTAACAGAAATTGAACAACTTGACATATTGTAAGATGGGACAACATGCGAAGGATTATGGTATTAACTGACTGATGGGCACTAACCAACAACAACTTTCTTTTATGTGATCACCAAATCTTTATCATTAGATTTTTCAATGTTTGAAATATTTTATCATATCATAAAGACCTGACTGAGTACAGCCAGGGGAGGATTTAGGGGGGTGCCCCCCCCCTCTTTTGGGAGGTTAAAAAAAAAAAAAGAAAGAAAAAGAAAAAAATGATAGCCCAGAACGCCTCAAATGTTATTTTCGGGCTTCTAGAACACAAAAATTTCGAAAGGGCATGCCCCCGGACTCCCTAGGATGGTGTTGTCTCGTGAGCCCCCTTTTGGCAACCCCTTTTGGACATCTCTGGATCTGCCCCTGATGGCTAGAAGACAGTTAACAAAAGACACTTAGAAAATCTTAAATTTATTCACACTTTCTCCAGAACAAATACCTATAAATTTAATTTCTTTAATTCTGTATCTTTCTGTATTTGGGAGGAATTAGTGAGCTGATGTTCGTAATAAGCTTCTTACTAGTCTCAAATCATTTTAAAATAAAATCAAAACATTTTTGAAGTAAATCAATTACTGGCATAAACGAACCTACTTTTAGAATGCTTTTGAGCAATCCTGTCCAGCACGACTGTCTTGTTTTCTCTATTTTGACTTTTTGTGCTTTTATGTAATGTGTTTTATATTAGACAAAATAAATTAAATGAAATAGGCCTAGGCCACTACGGCGCCACTACCATATTATGTCACTGATAATGTATTGTATTAGGCCTAGTACTGTAGTGCTGTCTAGGCCTAGACATAATAATAGTACATAGGACCTAGCCTGGTGGCTGGCCTAGTTTGTTGATAGTTAAAATAATGATAAGTCAATCAAAATAAATCAATTCAAATCTTTCAAATTTTCATGAAGTATACAATTTGGGCCTTATATTTTTAACTATTCACATACAAATTCGACATATGATTCATTAAATGACTAAAGCCAAGTTTAAATTAAACCTCCTAAACCTAGGCCAGAAGACTGTCAATCTATTGTCATGATGATGATTTACACCGACTGACAAATGCCTCTTAGCCCTAACACATTCGATAATGACACAAAACCAGCCTAGCAAGACCTATTACCTAGGCCTAGCTAGGGCAGCCTAGGACCTACGTACGTAGAGAACTGAAGATTTTGAGTCATCAGATTTTAACAAAATACTCACATAAATACAAAAAATAGAGACGTTGTTCCAATGAGAAATATGTATGCAATTGTAGCCGGTACAATATTCGTTGATGGCAAACATTTCTTTTTACAACAACCCATTTTGTTAAGGTTATATAAATTTTTTCCAATCTGACAACAGCTCCCCGAAGGCCGAGCGATATGGCGATCACTCTCTCAAAATAACGCCCCTCTCTGTTCTGATAAAATTCCTTACTTATGCATATGTTTTATTAAATAGTAAAAAAGAAAATAATAACACTACCATATTCAAATAAACAAAAATAAGAACCAATATTTTTAGTTTATGAATTTCATAGTTAAATATATCTATAAATTATTTTATAATGTGCAACTTAAAAAGTTTGAAGAGAAGAATCACCGAAACATGGCGATTGACTGTAGTGTCTGATTTTTGTCTGATTTTACAAAGAAGCTAGATATGCTTTACTAGAATTATTTTACAGTATATCATGATGTTATTTTAACTGTACTGTAAATGTATAGTTCGATCTGTCAACTTTCAACAAGCTGTTCATTTAGTGTTACAAAAAACGTCAAAAAGCTAGGCCCGGTGCTAGGTAGAGTTTGTAGTTTGTTTACATTTTTTAACAGGCAGTTACGCCGCGCTCGTCCTGTCCCAGCCTTGTCTGATGAAGGACAGTTCGTTACAGACAGGCCTAGGGCCTATGTAATTTGAATTACAGTACCCTTTTAATAACAAGAATCGTAATTAGGCATAGGCCTAGCCCTAGTAGTTATAAGTTGAATGTTTGATTTGATTTTATTCGGCATATATAGGCATATAGGCCCAGCATACATATAAAAATATTGGTATATTATAATTTATATAGGCATATAGGCCCAACATACATATAAAAATATTGGTATATTATAATTTATATACTGCATAGGTAGGTTAGGGTCAAGCCGGCTCCACCAACCAACACCTCAGATTTATGTAAAATCATCTGAACAATTGGGAGATTTCGCAACCTTACAAAAATGATAACGAATACAAATATGTTATTACCATTATCGTCATTTGTGCCTAATTCTGAACAAGCTGAAGATGATCGTCGTTTCATACAAAAGGCATAAATTGCTGAAGTTGTGACAGATATGATACTGTCTATAGGGTAAGGGTTTTCTAAAAATTTGATGACGTAACTGTATTTTTTATTGTTTCGTAATCGTTTCGTAGCTTGCAAAACTTCCTAATATCCATGCCTAATTATTGTAGCCTATACACATGTTTTACAAATGATATATCACTAGGCCTAAAAATACTTTTTGATTTGCTGAAAGGAATTTAGGGTATATAAAAAGACTATAGGAATTGCAATTTATAAATTAAGCATCTGTATAATTGGCTATTGTTGATTTTTGTACAAAGTTTCAATTGAAAAGCAAATACTATACTTATTGAAGTGCCAAAAAACAAATTTAATTTTTCCACTTTATTAGATTTATGACAGGTTTTGTGCACAATAGATAATAATATCTCATTTGGTTTGCTGTTTCTTTTTTTATACAGATTCATGAAGAAATGAGTTTAATTCTTGGTATTGATTTGGGGACCACTGCAGTGAAAGTTGCTCTTATTGACAGTATGACCAAACAGGTCATTAACCTTCAGTCTGAAAATACTAATGCTGACATTGTCAGTACTACATCACCAATCGGTAATGAGCAAAGTCATACCAAAATATTCAATGCTTGTATAGTGTGCCTACATAGGATAGAATATGAACAACGAAGGCAGGTTGTTCGTATCGCTGTATCAGGACAAATGCATGGCATCATCTTATGGAGCTCAACCATTTTTAACAATCCAGCATCAGATGATTATTTAAATCTTACAACGCATTGTGATGTCATCAGTCCATTATACACTTGGCAAGATGCAAGATGTTCTGATGAATTCTTGGCAACCCTACCTCCGGCAGAATCGCATCTTCAACTTGCTACTGGCCATGGGTGTGCAACTTTGTTCTGGCTGAAGAGGAATGTTTCGGGTTTTCTTTTCGGACATGGGAGAGAGGCAAAGTTTGATTGTGCCGGTACTATAATGGATTTTTTTACAGCTTTTTTGTGTGGCTTGAAGAAACCTATTATGTCTGTACAGAATGCAGCAAGTTGGGGCTACTACAACACTGAGCAATACTCATGGAATGAAAAAATGTAATTTCATTTGCATAGATCTGTTAAACTAAAATGAGGCCAACTAAAAAGATTCCTGAATTTTAACTAGATCAGTCACTCCATAGAGTGCATACCTTCACCCTGTCTGAATACAATACGCAGGCTGTGTATGATGGGTGAAACTGCAGCATACCCTCAAGGAAAAAATGGAATCACCTGTCAAATTCAGGCACATTATTTTCTTGAGTGCTGCAGCAACCGTCAAGAAAATAATGGAATCACCTGTCGCATAAATACATTAGGTGACTCCAATACTTTCTTTTATGCTTGAGGGTAAAAAAATCAAATTTTTCACCTTGTCCTTCGACCTTTCCTACTGAAAATTGAATGGTGCCTTCAATTATTATGTACCATTCCACTAAATTTTAGGATGAGCCATTCATTAGGTTTTGTGTAATCTTGCTAACAGACAGACAGCAGTGAATAGATAATTAACTTCCTTGTCAGAGGTAATAAATATAAAACATTTTTTGTTTCACAGCCTTAAAGAAGCAGATTTTCCTGTCACCTTGCTACCAGAAGTTCGTCAGCCAGGTTGTAAAATAGGTGAACTTAGAGCCCCATGGCAGGGATTACCACAAGGCACAGATGTAGGTGTTGCAATGGGTGATCTTCAGTGCTCAATTTTGCCTCATCTGACATCCGATACACAAGCAGGTACGGTGCAGTAGTTTAATTGCAGGGTTTGGCAAATATATGTGATGTTGAGACTTAGATATTTTAGATTGGATTTTAAACTCATTGAGAATTATCTTGTGTTCTTTTGCAGTTGTGAATATTGGTACTTCAATGCAGGCAGTTTTTAAATGCCCTCCCGGTCTTAATCCGACAAGATCAAACACCTTAAGCTCATTAGCATATTTCCCATTTTTCAAAGGGACATACCTAACTGTTGCTGCATCTCTCAATGGTGGCAACGTCTTAACAGCAACTGTCAAAATGTTTCAGCAAATGATGCAAGCTTTGAACATTCCAGAAGAATTTATTCAAGAGGAAAGCATTTTTGACATGTTGCTCGAAAAAGGAAAATGTATTACGGAAACAGACCTGGTAATCAAACCCACAATTCATGGGGAGAGGCATGCACCAAACGCAAAAGGATCTGTAACAAATATTACGCCATTTAATATGGACGTTGGGCATTTGTCGAAAGCTCTATGTCGCGGACTAATAGAAAATCTCCTTGAAATGCTACCTAGGGAGATATTGTGTACAGCTGGTGTAGAGAGGATTGTGGGATGTGGGAGTGCTCTTCTTAGAAACAAGATGCTACAAGAAGAGTTGGAAAGAGCTTATTGTTTGCCTGTAGAGTTGACAACAGATAGTAATGCAGCCGTTGGTGGTGCTATTGCATTATTAAATTTTTGGCATTGAGGTGTTAAAGGAGAAGTTTTCTAGCATAGAAAGCTAAAGAAAAGCCAAGTAAAAGAAAGGTAGTTTCTTGTCCTTAAATTTAAAAAAAAAAAAAAAGAATGAGGGCAATTTTTTTTCTTTTTTTTTACTCTGAGATGGCAAATGAAAGATGATCGATGGGAAACAGCTACTACTTTCTCACTTTTACCAGGTAGACACATTGAAAGCAAATAAAAGAAGCACGAGACATGATTCATACCATATATCTTCAACCACAAAATATTGAGAGAGGAATTTTATTGATGCGAGTTAGCCAGGTTTTCTTACATTTTTTTTTAAATAAAAAACTTTGGTGAGGCAGAGAAAGTGGATACGCAAGGGGACAAGAAACTATTAATTTTTTTATTTGGCCTAATATGAATTGTAGACAATCACAGTTCACCATTCCATTAATGAACTATTATCAATCTGTTTTTGATGCACAGGCCCCCTTCCAAGGAGGGGTTTTCTGGGCGCGAGGTCCACGGTCGAAGCCCCCAAAGCAAGGGGATTTTTGTGCTTTATGGGTCTAAATAATGCTATAAAAGCAGATATGTTTGAAAAGGTCCTTGTCTGGATGGGTCTGCAGTGCATTAGTTGGGTTGGAGGACTTATTTGGGAAATTTGAAGAAGGGGGTTCGCCAGAAAAGAGGGGGTTTGCTAGAAAAGGGGGTTCTCCCGAACCATAAACCCCCCCCCCTGGATATGAGCCTGATGCATTATAATAATGTTACTACAGTATAATTACAGTATATAATTGTATGAGATATTCAATTACTATTTTTCCCTTTATAATGCATATTATATTTTTTAATGATTGTTAAAATCAGGCGAAACAAAAACTACTGTATGTTTATTCCAAAGATTAAATAAAATTATTTTTAAATCAGTGCAACTGCTTACATTGCAAATTTACCTGTGGCATTTTTGTGTTTGTAAAAAAACTGAGAAGTATGAATTACTGTAACGGTCATCGTCCATAAGTGTAATTAAAGTTTATGCAACAATTGCACTGGATCATTTCTTAATCTACTACTGAGTAAAAAGAAATATTCTGGATCAAGATGTAGCCTTGAGAAGGATCGTTGTGAGTTATGGAAGCCCTTGAATGAGCAGGATAGATTTATGTAATTTACATGTGATACTTAAATAAGCAATTATGAAAAAACTCAGAATCTTCGTTATAACTTTGTATGATTTGTCATCTAATATGTAGAAGCATGGAGAAAATATACTAAGATGCTTTCTTCATGGTAGAATCCCTCCCTAGCCCCCTTGTTTCATTTTTTTTACATCAGCCACTGTAACACTCATTGGGGGAAAGTCCCTTAGAAACAAATGTCCATCACCATTAAGATATAGTTTTACTCCTTAAATATATCACAGAATGAAATTCCCTGCTTATTACTTTGTAAAACAAAATTTTTCTACAAGATGCAATATTGTTTGCTTTTTCTGTATAAGAAAATTAATTACCTGTACTCCATAATTAGTAGCAAGATAATTAACTGGACTGTTGCCCTTGAAATACATCATTAATTATTCATATCAATTACTGGATTCATATTTTTTCCCCTCCACTCAGTGGCAGCTCTAGGATATATTTTCTGGGGGGGGGGGGCTAAGCTGTCCAACAGGAGGATTTGACCTCGTAGGCCTGAGGTGGGATTTTTTTTAAAGAATAGCAACCTCTGGAATAGCCGGAAATGGCACTGTCAGACTGTGAGAGAGGTGTTGGCTTGGTGTGGGCCTATTTTTTATTGTCTGACTGTCTGATGGGGGCTTGACCGCTGGTGCCTCCACTGCAAGGGTCTAAACTTTAATCTTTGATTAGTATTTGCTTGTCAAGCACTGCTTGCAATGTAGTGTGGGTGGCTTTACAAAATATCAAATTACAAATCATTTGAATCCTGTAGATTAACTGTCCAGCTTTCGCTGAATTTCAGACTGTTTATTACAAAATTCATTTGATTACGAACCTGTTAAATTATTATTATTTTCTTGTGGACATCATTTTCAACTTCTTGTTTACCAACCTGAATTTTTAGTCTTGTTGGTTCCCATTTATTCCAATTCATGGAATGGCTAATTACTATTAATATTATTATTCATGCAGCATTTTTTTGTTCTAATTTTCTTAATACTTTCTTATTTTTATATGACTTTTATACTGTATTAACTTCAACACAAACATTTTTTAAGCTTATAAAATAATTGTTGATGGTAATATACATAGTATACTAACTACAGCTTTAATAAACATAATAATCTGAGATTACAAACCCTCACCCTGTTGCGCCATATCTATGTACTGAAAAATTAATGGCCCACCACACACGCAGACACACACATTCAGGGAGGCGAGGATAATTAAAATAATCAATATAATAAATTAAGACAGTAACTATTTCAAATAATAAGTACTTCTTTATTTGAAATATACTAATTTCTATACAAAATATGTGATCAGTTTATTTTAAATTGTTGAAGTTCCTAAAATGGCATTATAAAATTTGTATACAGTACACCAACACATCTTTCGTTCTTGTTTTCAAGTAATAAATTCATAAGATTATAACAAGGAAAATTGCATTGAGAAAAAATAAATAAATGATGTGAAATATCATTAATTTATCTATACATCTCAGTGATTTAAGTTCAATAAATTTGACTGTTAAAACAACCAAAATAATTGGTTTTAAAAAAACTACAAAAAATATAGCCATTTGGGTAGTTTAAATATTGATTTAATTCAATATTCTTTAAAAATATATTTATATTTTTAGACATTAGATCCCAATACCTTACTCATGACAACTCAAGAGTTCTTTTTCTTATTAGTACCACTCTACAATACTAAAGATAGGTCAGGTCTCTTTAGCATAGTTACAATTGAGGTGTACAGTTGGGGAAATATAGAAAATCAATAATTTTTGCTCCTGAAGTAATCAAATATTAATATCTTGTTACTTGGTACTTCTATAGCACTTATTCCTTGCGATTACAAAGCGCTAATATCCACAACTGTAGCTGTGCTACGTGGACCACAGTATGACATAAGTTTTCCTTGTTTTTATTAGTACCTCCTCCAAAAGTTCTGGGGCGGATTGCTATAAAACCGTCTTAACTGGTAGTCTTAACTCCTCGAAGTGTGCGGAGTATTCGTCGTTCGATTCTTCGACTTTGATGATCTAGGCCTAGGTCTTGCCACTGCACTGATGAATTAATCAGCAGAACGCCATGATGAAAATGATTTAAGACCGTTTTAAGCCTCCTCCGAGTAGGCTTTAAAATTTAAGACGGCTAACCGGTTAGACTGCGATATAGCAATGGTCTATGATCATAGACCAGTAGTGATGTCACGATTATAGCCGGCTAACCGTTAAGACCATCTAAAGACCGCTTATAGCAATCCGCCCCTGTTGTCCTAGATCTATAGCACCTGCATTAAAGTATATTCAAGAAGGATGATGTGGTCACTTGGTGAACATTGACGCACGTTAAAACATCAGGCATCAGCATTAGTTCTGCCAGTTCTTGATAGCTGAAATTATAAGACATTCAACTAAATTTACCAATGCATACCTTAAGCCCTGTCCAGACTATCAAATTTTATTTGACAAAAAACATGTGACATGCCTAAATATGGTCATGATGACATCACACTATGACCATCTATAGACACATCATGACTATATATGAGCATATAACAGTTATTTGTAAAAGAATAGTGTGGACAGACCTTAAGAAGAAAACTATCACTGTGTGAACACGCTGCCGGAATTCTGGGCCGCAAGTTAGGAGCTATTCTGATGCCTTTACCATTATGTGCAAAGAATTATATACCTCATACATAGATTCAAGGCATCTGATTGGTTAAGAAGCAGGCAATAGAAAGTACTATTCCCCTCAAAAATAGTACTTTTTTGCCCTGTCGCATGTGCAAACTCTAGGCCCACTTAACATTGCGTTGACAGTAAAGGACTGCGATCTCTATGACGAAAGAGATTGGCCCTTGACTGCGCCACGGATCAGCGAGTAGACGATAAACAAAATATATGGAGGCTAGGCCTAGTCGGTTCAGGCTATATATATTTGCAAATCAGAAATATTTGTCACATAAACTTGTTAGTATGGAAAGGGATTAACAAATCGTCCTCTGCTATAATTTCCGAATGACATCCTAAAGCAAATGTTCACTACATGCATAACAACTGTAGTGAAAGTTGTACGCATGTAGATTTGGGGTCCATAGGCCCAAATATCCTAAAATAAGTTTATGTATCTAAATTAATATGTCATAAATTATTAATATTCTCTAGTATAATACACTTAAACACAAGTAATCATGGACCTAATAGGTCCATGATCTAATGTAGGCATAGAGTACTTACATGCTAAAATGTTTCAATTGTACAAGATAAGCACAGATGAAGTAATGAAAGAGAAAAAGAAAAAGAAAAAATTTAAATGGAAATTGAACATTCAAAACACTATTGAAACACATAATAAATTCCAATGGTTACCAGCAGTTTTATTTTGTTTATTTCAAAAATAAAAGACACAGTAATATATGACATTACATGGGTTAATTTCCACGCTTTGTAGTTGAAGTTTTTTCTTGTTTCCTTTACTTGCGCCTTGAGCACTTTCTAAGTGGATAATTGCACTATATAAATCGTATTTATTATTCTTATTAAATAGAAACTAAACTCCATAGTCCAAGGAGAGAAAGGAAAATTTGTGTAGCATAAGGCAATGTCAATTTAGTCAGTATATGTATAGTATTACATATTGAATTTACTACATTTAAACTATTGTTTCTATAATACCATTTACCTTTACAATATAATGCTTACCTTCACAATATCAACCCAGTCCCAACCCCGTGGTCTTTCTCCTTTGAAATCTAAAATAAAAGAACACAACATGAGGAAAAAACATTTTCCATTATTTAAAGATATACCATGCTGCAGTTTTATTAGGCTTCCAATCAACAAATAAAATTTATGAATATTTATTTCATATGAATGAGACAAAATATGAAATTTAAAAAAAAAGAAGAAAACTTGAATCTGCTATGCCATGCTTTCTACTGTATATTCAGGTTTATTTATTATTCACCAATAAAATACATTAAAAACAGAGGGCAGCTAAGCTGAAATCTCTGTGAACAATTAAGAAAACAGTAAAAAGGCAAGATACACAAAAACAGTACAAGAAAACAAAAGCAGCATCCAAAAGCAATACACAAAAGATACAAACAACCAGGCCTATCATCCACCAACATTATCATTATTATTATCATTATAATACTCATCATTATTCTTATCTTATAGTGTTGAATTATGGATGAAAAATATCCAAATTCAATTTAACTTTAGAATTATTAATGCCATCAATAATTTTAGGAATGGTGGAGCTTTTCTGTATATCATACAGAGGGCGAGTTAGCCCAGTGCTGAATGATTTGACCTTGGTACAAGACCGACCAAGTTCGAGACTAGCCAACACTTGCCCGTGTCATTGGGTAAGATATAATTAATTCCCGCAGATGTTACATTAAGCTGTTAGTTGCTTACTTGATAGCAAGGGTGTACATGCAGTAGGCGCTACATAGTTGGTATTGTGGGTCCCCTCGGGCCTATTCCAAATTTCCATGTTCATTTTTAACCAGGACTATTTATATTCTTCATTTGCATTTATTAATTTCAATTTTTATCATTTGTATGTTGACATATTACCTGTTTTGTCCGCCATCTTCCTCTTTTGTGCTTTTGTCAAATGTTCTTTCTTTTCCTTAACTTTTTTTGTCTGTTGCACATCTGTTCCTACACTTGGTTCCTAGAGTCCATTAGAAGGTAAATTTACTTTAAAACATAATTAGTGAGAGGTATTCGATAAAATAGAGTGGTTTATTTAAAGTTGGCACAACACTTCGGCTGTATGATTTGGTTAATATATTAGTTAATGATGCTATAATTTCAGGGCAATCTCTGTATCTAAATTAATGTTTGAGAGACTATGTTCTCTCAAGGGTTAACCTGACAACGATGAGGAAGACAACAACAACAATAATAATAATAATTATAACTATAATAATAACAATAATAATAATAATTAATATGCGCTAAGTCGGACTTAAGTGGAATATCTTTTGTGTTATTTTCCCCTTAACGTCATGTTAATTTCCCCTTAACGTCGTTTTTTTTAATTGTTTTCTTATTTCTCCATTGTCTAAGTTCCCCTTAAGGTAGGTTTTAGTAACATAATAATAATAATAGTGATAATAATAATAGTGATGATAATGAGATGATGTATAATGCTGATGGTGCGCAATCAAAATCAGCCAATAATCAATAATAATGACACGATTAGGATGATTATCAATAATGATAATATAATAATAATAGCTTGATAATAATGAGATTGGTACAATAATGGTAGTAATAATGACAATGAGATGATTAAATGGTATTGCCTGTGTGCAATCCCCCACAGATGATGATGATAATGAAATGATGATGACGTTGACAACTATGACAATGTTTATGACGATAATGGGGGCGCACTTCTCCAGAAATGATCACATGGTTGCGAACTGTTCACATTTTCTCCCTATTTTGATGCATGGGTCCCAAGTTGTAAGAAATTCTTTCCAACAGATCTGGTTAAATGAGTTTTCTTAACATATTTTATATTATTTTGCAGCGCATGGCAATACCCTGAGGCACTGACTTCTGTGAGACAATTAATAGAATAGTAAAAAAAACAGTTTTCTCCCGAAGCCGTTATAGCGGTCAGGTTTATCAGTAAAAATAACTGATCGACCAGTAAAAATTATGTATTGGTAGAATAAAAAAACACTTATTAGGCCTAGGTAGCCTAGGCTGGCCTTCTTTCAATAAGCTAACATCATTCAAGTCCAGGCCTAGGCTATGACTATGTATTATTGTTTTTTTAAGCCATTAAACTCCACAATACCTCACGTTGCATGCCCTTAGCTGGGTCTATATGGACAATTTACAAGTAAAAATTCTCCAATGGGGAGAACACTGAAAACATTCAAATATTATGAATTTGCGGGAGATGGGTTATTTTCGGGGAGATTCTTTCTTGCTTGAGGATGTACAGGAGGCCATCCCGATTTCAAGGAGACTCCCGCGACTTCCGGAAAAATTGGGACCCCTGTTGATGAAAGCATGTCCATAAATAATGACAGACAAATGAAGAATAATAGTAAGAATAAACATTATGGTAAATAATGTAGATACCCTTGCTTGGATAACTTCTTCAACCTGATCCACCATAAGTGATTCTGCATTTTCCTTCGCCCATTCAAATAGTGTATAAGTCATTGCACATTCCCGCCATTGCTCACCCTCTTCATTAATCTTCATCACAGCATTGCTTTTCACCTTAGGACATCTATTAATAGTGAAGAGTAAGTTTAATAATCAGGAGTTAAATTACGTTAGAATTACAAAGTAAATGAAAAAGATAAAAGTATTAGAAATATTAAAATTGTTAAGAGAAAACAAAAATCTTCATCTGGCTGAGCAAATACTGTAGTGAATAAGTGATGTTTTATAGCCAACTTTGTAGGTGTCTGAGACAAAATACAATTCAGAAACCCCCCTTTGGGATACCCCTATTAAAAAGACACTTTTTCGGCCACGAAAGGAAGGAAAGTATATCTTTTAAAACAATGGCCATCTTCTATTCAGGGGACATCCCTATTAAGGTGGCACTGTTTGGTCTTAAATTACCGTAATTATAATATGATGTATAGCACCCTCTATCTTTAATTTACTCAATATAGCACCTTCCTTTTAATAATCACAAAATAAAGCAAAATCTATGTCAGTGGAATCGCTATGGATTACAGTCCTTGATTGGTATGGCTTCATTAAAAGAAACCGATATGGCCAAGTATGGTATTCACATGTCATTAATTAATTGGTGGGTACAATATATACATTGAATTTTTTAAAAACATTTTTATATTATAATGTATACAGGATATGTAAAAATTGATGTTCATGCATTCTACTCAAGCATTATGCGCAAGACTTGACCCGGTGGATTTAGAGAGGGGGGGACCAGGCCGGCTGCGGCCCCCTCTTTTTGGAAAGTTTGAAAAAAATAAAAAGAAAGAAAGAAATAGAAATAATTGATCGCTCAAAACGCCTCGTAGGTTGTTTTTGGACGTCTGGAAAACAAAAACCCCCTAGGGTAGTGTTGTCTCGATCGCCCTCCCTCCCACTTTGGGCCCCCTTGTTAGACATCTCTGAATCCGATTCTGTTGACAGGTGTATTATTATAGTAAATACTGTAGATGTAGAACTTTAGAGCTACCTGTTTAAAGTGGAGATTGAACAAAATACAAAGCACTTTAAAAACTTTTTGATTATTAATAAAGAGATGTATCAGGCACAATGAGATGAGATAACACAACATGCTGATAATTTACATAGTAGATTAACTCATATTTAAAAGCCAACAAAAAAAGATCATTGAAATAATTTCCTGAAATAAGAGTTTAAAATATGTGTACATAACTTAAAATATGTGTACATAACTTACATATGATTATTGTAGAATGCATCAAAGTTAATATTAGGTAACTCTGTTGGATAATTATCACCCCAGGCAATTTCTAATAAAAATGATTTAAAATGACCAATGTCTCCAACCTGCAAAAAAAAAAGATCAAAATATTATTACACACTATCAGTGTAGGATACTGCCCTCTACAACACACCACACAATCTTTCGTGTTCCAAGAACGCCCTCTGTCTCAAAATCTGAACAGACCAGCCAATTTTAACACCCGTTTTCTAATCTGCTATTATCTTAAAACATTTTACCCGATATTGAAATGTGGTTGGGTTCAGCTCTTTAAAATTTTCATCTCCTTCGTAGATGGATTGCAAAACTTCTCGTTCTTCCTGAAAGTCAAAGGTCAAAAAAGGTATTAAATATATTCAATTGTACACATTTATTATTCTGCTGAGTAAACTGTCATCAATATACTTTACAGAGTGGCTTCTGCTAAGCCCCACCCCTGGGATATATCTGTTAACACATCCCACAAAACAACAGGGTAAACATTTGTTTGTAGTACTGTACTTCTTCTTCTACTTCAATACTCGTCAAAGCCTGTGCAGCATCTTGACGAGGATGCTCAGCCGCCGATAGACAGCTTTGTTCCAGTGCAATAACGCTAACTATGCGACTATTTACAATATGATGATCATTTAGGGTCTGGATGGCACCCTTGAACTGCTTTAGTAGAGTCTACTGTATAGTAGGCAGTTCAATTATTTCTTTGGGGACTGCTTCCCAGTGTTTCAGTGTCCTTGGGAAAAAGCTGAATTTATAGGTGTTTGAGGGACACAGGCATTTGTGAGACAAGCATATATTCTGGGCCCTGTTCATATATTAGTCATTGTTAATTCGACACCCAGAGAGATCAATTGTTTTGGCAATGCAACAAGCATGACATGTGTTCAGGCACTTTTTTAGAGAGATCAATTGTTTTGGCAATGCAACAAGCATGACATGTGTTCAGGCACCTTTTTCATATCTCGTCATCTGGGAAGACTGGTCTGGTGGGGAATCCAATATCTTGGTGATTGTTTAGAATCTTCTAATTTTTGTTTATAGTAATCCATTTTCCAGCAATATATTTTCATTTACACACTTATTCTGAACTAGCTAGGTCTAAATCAGTATTACTATAATGCGGAAGTTAAAGCAGCCTGATACAATTTCACTAGGCCTAAGGCCTAGCCACCACCTTTCAAAAGCCAGTTCACCAGAACCGACAAGGGCTGAAATCCAGTCAGCTCGTAAAGATTCGGCTCGACGTAAGCCTAGGCTTAGGCCTAGCCCTGTAATAATCTTCAAATACAAAGAATACTTGTGTCATTTTAAAATCGAGGTGACACAGATATTTGAATATCATTTATGTTGATTAAATAACGAAAATCTTACATTTTGAGCTTCTTTATTGTCCATATCTGTACAAAACTCCACACACACAAAACCGCATTTGCTCGCGACGATATTATTATTATCTTCGAGCGCGCGTTAGCCGAGTTGTATGAGACGCCTGCAGTGAATTCGGGGTAGCCGATCATTTCGGTCGCGCTTCGTTTCGGTCGCGCTTTGTTTCGGTCGCGCTTCGTTTCGGTCGCGGTATATTTCGAACAAATATATGGAGCGCCGAAGGAGTTGCGAAAACGAAAAAATTAATATGCCTAGGCCCTATATATTTTAGTTCGTGAATCGGTTTATCATAGGTCTAAATATTATTGTTTTGCTATCTTTCCACTAACAAAATATCTTTCTGGTATATTCTCTTTCTTCCATTTATGGTGATATATTCATGATTGCAACATGATCTTGTAATTGAAACAATGGAATTTAGTATGTGCTTCATGCTATTCTTTTTGTTGCATTTTCATATACTATACTTACTTTAATAAATGGTCAATAAAATGTATCTTTGATTTTAATTGAATTGAATATTGTTACCATCTGAAATCTATTTCATAATTTAGTTAAAACAATAATCATTCAATATTTAAGCTGATCATTTTATACAATCTATTTATTTTTCTTGCAGCTTCCAGGGTTTGAATAAAAAATACCAAGAGCATTGAAGGAAACACGAAGAAATAAACGAATAATAGCCTACGCACATTATCATTCACTTGAAAACTTGAATACCCCTGCGCAGTTTATAAATATGAATATATATTTATATATGATTTTATCATATTGTATATACCTTGAAACCACTATATATATACTGTCTCTTATACACATCT